CTCGTACCCAGATCACCCTCTGCCAGGCGAAAGGGAGATCTGGTAAAGTTCGATTTCAAGGCCCGATATACTAGGTCCCAGGCCTCGCTGGTAGCCCCCCCTAGTTCCCGCGAATATGCGAAAATGTTTCAGTGGCGAGAGCCAATCACAGCACATATTAGAATAAGACGATATTTTAAGTAGTATCCAATATAGAATAGGCGTTATTTCGAACTTTACCAGATCTCACTTTTCAGTGTCAGACAGAGTGGGATCTGGGTACGAGATTAGGGTTATCACACATGAAGACGTGTTTGGCTCGTCGGGTTTTGTAGTTTTTGACTAGTTAGCCCAGTTCGGAGCCCTTCGGTTCTTTTCTTGATTCTCTCGCGCGTTTAAAACAGTAATCGAAAACTCCAAGAAAAGAAAAACCACAGTCAACAGTTTATTTGTCACTTTTGTTATTTTTTTCTCTTCGTTTCCTAATTGTTTTCTTCTCCTTGCCGTTGTGATCAGTCTGCCGTTTATTGCTCATTAAAATAGTACTTATTAAGGCGGGACTTAACCTGAATGCCATTTTTCCGCCACTTGACATGCGTTTACTGGAAATATCTCGTTTACGTTTCAAGCAATCCAAAAACTCTCTGCTCAAAACATGAATCTATGTTATGGGGTGTTTTGTAAATTTTTTGGTGATTTTTGGGTATTTTGGGAGGAAATAGTTTTTTCTCAAAGGAGTTGTAAAATTTAGGGAAATAAGAAATATTGAAGATTTAATGTAGTTTTTAAAATTAGAATTTGAAGTTAAAAATTAGTAGATTGACATTGACGACAGTTGATACCCACGCAAAAGCACCCGCGTGGGTATCAATTGTCTGTTGGTGTTCCAAAAAAAAAAATCCTTCTATCCCTTCTTTAAACCTCTTAAAATTTCATTGAAATTCAGGTAGAATCCCCCTAAGTTGAGGTTATTGAACAAGCATCTGGCGTCGAGCTTTGTGCTTTGTGCGCGGCCGAAATGGATTTTAAAAATATTAGTTTAGTTATTTTTTTCCAGTCTAATCTAAAAATAATACAAATACGTCATACTATTACCGAAAATACAATGAAATGGAAACTGTAGAAAATGTCAGACAAAGTTGTTTGTACTGCACGCTCGAGTGGCCGAGTTAGACGTGATTTGCATAGGAATTTTATGCTTCGGACGGGATTGTCCCTTTTATTTGCAAGTCTCTGTGCGAGCCGGCGGATATAAGGCAAAAAACAGGGGAGAAAGGCTCTTCCAATGGTCAGATTAGTGTAGATGGAAGTTTGGCGAACATTTTAATATAAAACTTGCTAAAACTGTACATAAAAATATGCGATATTTTCTTACACGAACAATGGTGGTACCGTGATAAAGAGAGAGGTCATGAAATGTACAAATAATCTGAGAAACACTGAAATAAATAGAAAAATAAAGGAAAGGGATTTAAATATAACATTAAAACACCATTTGTTATTGTCAAAACTGAGCATGAAGAATTGTAATTGACATTTCCTTATGCCGCCATGCAGGATTTGACAGATATAGCCGTAGTTTCTTGAAAGGAAGTCCACCCGGAAATGATAGAGTATTTAGGCTTCCTACTCAGTATTGTGAAAGTCTACCAGACAGAAACAGTTATTTTAATACATTTTAAAGTACTTACCCATATCTGGAGGCTTTAAACGATATCAGTTATGCGGTCTAGCTGGCCGTATCTTCTGCGTGCTGAAGTTGGGAGGCCTAGTGATCAGACCAGAAGAGATGTATTCAGCCAAGGACCCAGACAAGTTCAGGTTTGACGGCTTAATTACTTCGGAAAGCATCAAGACTTTCACGAAAGTTTAGAACAGCCTGTTTCACTTGCATCAAATGAAAAAGCAAGCATAGTGCGTGGAAAAAATATTGATCACATGTATGGCCATAAAGAATTTTGAGATGTCTTCCTCAGCTGCAGATTCTGCAGATCCGAAAATTAACCAACTATTCTCTTCGGCGGAACGGAAGGAACCTGACACGAGAAATGCAACTGTGTAGAAACTGTAAAAGCTGCTTCGCTTTGCAAGAAGCTGGAATCATTTCCTTGTTCCTGACCCAGTCGAGCGTTAATAATCCGGGGACTTCACCGTGTTTATTATGGTGACTTAATCACCCTGTCAATGGATGTGTCAGCAAAAGTATTTGTAAAATGCATGCGTTACCCGTTTCAGTGCGTCACAGAGCCGTTTCAGATCACACTGAGATCAGAACGGGCGCATTGCTGAGTGGGTTTCTACGGTAAAGCGCGAGTTACCTCCGCGCTCGTCACTCGTTTTCAGGCTACGTACACCAGCCGTTATTCTCTTCTGATAACTAGTAACATGATTGCTTTAAAGCCTTTCTATTGTAGAAAATCATATGGAGCGCGAGTCCAAAGAATCACCGGCAAAGCAAGCGTCCGCGCGAGCCCTGGAGGCGAGAGCGGAAGATCGGGACGCACGCAACGTGCGCACAACGCGATCTTTTGCCGAAAACAGACAGCATGTCAGTATTGGGCAAGAAATGAATCGATAATGTGGCTCAGTTCACACTTATATTACTGACATGACTGTGCTGTCATGATTGAAGATTCAGAGGCGAACTTTACAAATAATTTTGGACAGTGATTAGATTCATGTTTGAATTGAGTGCGGTTCGGTGCTCCTCCAGATTCCGATACAGCACTAGTTGAAATTCCTGCGTCAAATTTATAATGAGTGGGTCAGAGGCTTTGCCAGTTCAAATTTGGACTTTTTAAGTTGTCCATTAACGTTTTTGCCATTGATAGTTGTCAATTTGGATACTGAGGTAGACACAATTATTTCAGTGTCCATTTGGACGAATTCAATGACTGATATGTCTGACTGTATTTTCAAGTCAATAATCTTCTAATAAGTAAGCAGCTAATAACTATAATAACCAGTCAAATAACTAGTTATAGACCTCTGGTCAAATATTGGAAATGATTGGCCATCTAAAAGGGCTAATCAAAGGACGAAATCGATTATTTTATATGATTACTGATTTGTATAATCATCGCATTTTTCAATGCCAATAAAATTCTCTACCAACCAGGCGATTGTAGGCTCCATTTTTGCCGCTGTCTTTGTACCTCCACCGAGGTACACATCGGTCAAACGCAAAATTGCGCGCCACTTCCGGTTTCCGCGGCCTTGACTTTTCCATGAGTTTGAAGCGTAATGGCCGCGAAGTTTGTAAGGAAACGTTATAGAACATGCAATGGTAAACCAAAATACGAGCTGAGACACTTTTTGGATAACAATTATTACATTATCTATGCATACTCCGAGTATAAAGCTTAAGTTTTCAGTAAATTTCTTAAGTTTGAGCTTTAAAGCGGACGACTTCGCAATTTTAAGACATTTGACTGCAAAGTTTTGGCGGGAACTGCGCGCGCGCAGTACGTTTGACCGCTGTGTGCCACCGAGGGAGGAGCGCGGGCTCATTTCCCGAACAGCGGCCGGTTGAGCCCGGCGGAACTGAGAAATGTGTGGACACAAAGAAATAGCAAAAGAAAAGAAAGGAAAAGGGATTTAAATATAAGGTCATATAACATTAAAACAGCATTTATTATTGTCCATACTGAGCACTACTGAGCATAAAGAATAGAATAGACCCTGATTTCCTTATGCCACCATAGCCGCATTCAGTTTACTTGAGACCCGGAAATGATGGAGTATTTAGGCTTCCTACTCAGTATTGTGAAAGTCTACCAGACAGAAACAGTTATTAATACATTTTAAATTACTTACCCATGTATCTGGAGGCTTTAAACGATATCAGTTATGCGGTCTAGCTGTGGTCGTGTCTTCTGCGTGTTGAAGTTGGGAGACCTATAGTGATCAGAACGTCAGAGATGTATCATGTGTATTCAGACAAGGACCCAGACACCCGCCCAGACACGGCAAGTTCATGTTTAGCTATGTTTTGACGGCTTAATTGATTCGGAAAGCAAATGCTTACACGAAAGTTTAAAACAGCCTGTTCACTTGCATCAAATGAAAAAAACAAGCATAGTACGTGGAAAAAATATTGATCACAACTGAAGAACTTATCTTGTGGCAATTGATGTACTGCCTCTGATGTCGTACCTTTGGTCACAGTGCGATGTTTACTGTGATGTACTTAATACGTCTTTCCCTCAGCTGCAGATTCTCCAGAGATTCTACAGATCCGAAAATCAACCGACTATTCTCTTTGGCAGTAAGGAAGGAATCTGACAAGAGAAATCCAACATGACCCAACTGTGTAGAAGCTAGAAAAGTCGCTTTGCTTAGCAAGACAAATTCATTTCCGTGTCTCACGTCATCTGATCCTGACCGGTCAAGCATTGATAATCCGGGGACTTTTCCCGGGCCGTGTTTTAAATTATGTTACTTATCAGAACAATATGATTTAGATGATAAAAGATTTAGAGTTATTACTAGACTGTTGTTATGATTTTTACTAAGACAATTAGATTATTCGCTCTCAATTTCTATGATGTGATAGTTGATTCGGCTCAAATCGATTATTTTATTGTTTCATTTTTAATATCATCCTTCAGATATGGTTATGGTTGATTTGTGTAATCATCGCATTTTTCAATGCCAATAAAATTTTCTGCCAACCTGACAACCGCCCACGCAGGTCAAGCTATTGTAGGCCGAGGGAGGAGCGCGGGCTCATTTCCCGAACAGCGGCCGGTTGTCAAGCCGGAACTGAGAAATCGAAAGTTGTAACTAAGAATTAGCATAGAATGACGATGAACTGAAAATGAGCGACTGCTAGTCCATCGCAGGTTATCCCCAGCATTTTTACTCCTGGGTGGAGGGAGGCACTGGGAGAGTTTTTAAAGTACTTAAATTAAAGTATCTTTCCCAAGAACACAACACAATGACCCAGGCCAGCGCTCGAACCTAGCCTGATTCTCAGACGGTCCTTCCCCCACTCCCTCTCTCCCCTGTGTGGACCGAGTCGGACCGTCTGAGAATCAGGCTACGCTCGAACCCAGACCACTCGATCCGGAGTCCAACGCGCTAACCACCAGGCCACCGCGCCTCGCACTTAAAAAGAAATTTAAAAAAAGAAGCAGAACAATGTAACCATTACTCATTTCGATATGTTGCTATATTTTTTATATTACAAGCACAAAAGCAATCGACCAAAATTGATACAAAGGTCATACCAATACTTTCAAGTATTAAATCAAGTTATTTTCCACACTATTTCTCCCAGTTGTCCCCACCACCTTGGGAATCTAATAATAATAATATTTCAAGCCAGGAGGCTCTCTCACCGAAGTGATTTTTAGAAAGGTCCTGGAAAAATGAAACAATAAAAATTTAAATAAGTTACCCCAAAAAAGTTAAAAGCTAAAACATTTAAAAGATAAAAAGTGACAATAAAAATGTCAAAATGCTACTAGAATTTTTAATCTCGCTATTTAAATTGTTTTCCAGTCGCTAACTGCTTGATAATTCGTTCTTTGCTTTTCCCGGCCCAGTTCCCCCCCCGCACGGCTGGCTGTATAATGTATAGGTGAGGAGAAGGGAACTGGAATGAGGGTTACAATTGCTAGTATTTGTTACACAAAATGGTTGATTCTAATTCAAATTTCAGCGTTTCCTCTGCATGCCAACTGCTTCAAGTTGGCTTCTCTAAACCAGATACATTTTCAGTTATGATTTAGAGGCACTTTGTCACCGTGTCACTAGTAGTATTCAATTCCCGTATCACGTGAATGAGACAGTCAAGAATCCCTACGAGTGTAGGAAAGAAGATCACACATATTGTCGTTGTTTTCCTTTCTCTTTAAAGTACTCTTGATCGATGTCCCATTGGACTGCAACAGAGAATAAATTTGATAATGAATATATGAATGAAATCAATTGCTAAATTCTATTCACTAAATGTGAGTCAAATTTTTTATTTTGTGGCGTACCTGTAAACTAAGCTGGTGCGTCGGATGCAGACTTTACTCTTAATAGAGGGAAATGGTTATGAAGCCCGGCAAACTTCAAAGGAGCAAACAAAGAGGCCAAGATTTATGTTGGAGGTCCATGACCGTGCACATCTTTTGTTTTGCGCTCATACACTATGCACTGATGAATTACGTAATCGCAACGTTTCTATTGGTTAGTTGCTTGAACACACGTAATCACCTATTGTATTTTGTCAGGTTTTTGTGCACGGTCAACCTCCAAAATAGCGAAACAAAAACATATAACAAAGAACTTTGCTGGGCTTCATAACCATTTCCCTCTATTAACTATGGTAGGACGCACCATTACCGTAGCTAAGTGTACTGACCAAGGTAAATAAACATCTTATCTTATCTTGTTCTTACGATATTTTAGATGCCTAATAACCTATTCCCTATTTTTGTCATGTTCTTGTTTCTTGTGAGGTTACTTCAGTCTGAGATTTTGCTGATACATCACGACCTTTGATCTTGCCGCTTCTTCCGCAATACATGATCGCACTAAACAGCGACCGAATCGTTACATAGATGTTTTGGACGTGGAATCGCCAAAATATTTCTGAACGAACACAAACCTATCAAGACAATGACGATTTTACGTATTCTCCTCAGCTGTCTCCTTACCCATGTTCTTGATATTGGACAATAATATATGGAGATGGTGAGGAGAAATTAGATGATGATCACTCTTGGAATTAAATAAACCATCTATCTCTGTCTATCTATCACTATACCACTCTTCAGCTGCTCTCAAACAAATCACAGAATATTTCAAGACTTACCCGCTTTGTAAGGCTCACTCCGAATTTTTCATCATTGCTAGTTCCCAGAACTTGTAGCCTGTTCTAGTGGCTTGATCTGCTTTTGTCCGTGACCAGGATCGGTACATCTGCGTCTCGACTCCTACGTATCAAAAACAAAATCAAGCATTTTAAATCCATTTATTTTCCAGGCTTGTGGAATATTTGTAGGGAATTTCCTAACCGTCAGTGGATTTTTCTTAGAGACTTGGCATTCAGGATTCGCAGTCTGCAGATTTTGTGGCAGAAAATCCTCTTCGCCATTACTGCATAGTAACTCTCGCCACCTTCTCAACCAATCATGATCAGATGTAAAACCAATCGCGACTTGGCCACACGCGTTTTCCCGCGTTTGGCGCCGGTTACGTGTATTTGCTTTGAGTTCTCATTGGTTCATGTGTTGGTTACGTTTGTTGCGATTGGCTAGAGCGGTTTTCATTTGAGTGTCGTAAAACCAAAACCAAAACCATGATTGGTTTTGGTTTAGCATCTGATTGGTTGAGTAGGTGGTGCGAGTTTTTTAAACCAATCACAGAACGTAGTAAAGCAAAACCAATTTCGGATTACTTTCGATACTCAATTGAAAATCGCTCTATTGTAATTGCTTTGGTTTTGGTTTCGGAAGAGCTCAATTGAAAACCGCTATATCAGCTAGCTTTTTGCATTGCTGTTTATTTTCAAACATTTCTGCTCACTAAGTTAAACGGTAATCTTTTGAACATAAGTAACTACCTTGAACACAATAAAAACAATCAACCACATGCATCTTTATCTATATAGCTACCTTCTTACTAACACTCGTGTTGTCACTTCCCAAACAGGGTACTGAGTATGTTTTCTCAGGAAGGCTCTCAGGCTGCAATCATGAAATGTAATACAAAATCATTTTAATAGCGAAACAACTACCTTTCATGATGTCATTGTTGACGTAAGCGTGCGATTTTCGTCAGAGAAGTTGCTACAGGGAAATAACAATATATTGGCTGAATTTTTAAAAAATATCGATTTATTGCATATATCATAATTCAGCATTGCGTAAGCCTTTCTTATCAACTCATTCCGTTTTGAAACGTTTTTTTTAATGCAACGTCTGTGAGGGGGGAGGTGGGGGGGGGGGGGGGGGCTGGATTGGTAACAGCCCACACTCATCCCACCCCACCCCTCCCCTGGGGTGTTATTTTCATGTTGTTCCTCGAAAAATAAATGAATTGTATCCTTACCAGGCAGAAGAGTCCCCTCAATAGTTTTTCCAATTTCTCGACCTGTCTCTGTCGATTGATCTGATTTTCTTGTAGTTTTTTGAAGTTCTTCTTCTCCTCATCTGACATTTCTCCTCGGGCTAATTCCAAATCGTTGACTCGATGCACCAAGTCATTGTGTTCGGCTTTGAGACCATGATAAGCAAAGTCACAGAAGTCTGTCTTCAAATCCTCGTTACATTTACAAGCCTCAGCCACCATAGCCTGTATCTCGTTGTAGATCTCCTGTATACTCACGCTAAGCGTTGTCAAAGTTTTTAAATTATCTTCCTTTACTTCCGTCACATTGTTATTTAAAAGCTGCTTGATGAGTCTTTTCAGTCGGATGTCGATTCCACGTTCTATAGTTGCTTGCTCTGTGTCAAGATCATTGTCCAGATTCTGTAAAGGTAATTAATTGGAATTAGATCTCTCAAATTATTTATTGCAATGAAAAAATCTTATCATTGACAGACTCGGGTATATCCTTTCTCCTCCTCCTCTCTCTCCTCCCTCCCCCCCCCCCCCCCCCCCCCCCCCCCCCCTCCTTCTCCCCCTCCGTCAGTCCAATAAAGTTTTCATTCATTCATTCGTTCGTTCGTTCGTTCATTCATTCATTCATTCTAGTTTCAGCCGATGCTTACACCACATTTCAGGGTGAAGGAAAGAAGCTACAATAGCTAGTAAAGCGGACGAAGGGATTTCCTGGCTATGTGGTAAATGCAGAGGTACGGAAGTCAACTTGGTACAATGGTACGATGACTGAGTTTGAAGCGATGCCGTAAGGGCAGAAAAAAATGACATATAGTAAGGTCAAATACGCCGAATCATTTCATAAGGTGGGACGTTTCAGGAACAAGCATCAATTACCTACCTCTTGTGAAGAGTCCCGCTGCTGTTGTCCGCTTCTACTCGCTATGTCTTCTTCCAGTTCTACGATTCTAGCGCGCAATTTGGAGCACTGTTTCATGAAATAAATATTCAACGGCTATTTAGTATATCACACCCTTACAAAATAACACATTTTGCAAACGTTGCGCAACGTTTGCGGGGAATTCAAGCGAGTTCAAGTTGCATCAGTTGCTTGGACTCGGCCAGCCTTTTTTGGCCGGGGCTAAAAATTGCTTACCTCTTGTTCAGCATCCTGGAGCTGTTTTTCCAATTGCTCAATTCTAGCACGCATTTTGGAGCTCTGTTTTGTTAAACAATAAAGGAAAAGAAACGAAACGAAAAATTGCATCTGAATAAGTGTATTCCCACAGGTGACCAAAGCATACTATAAGAGTTTGTATGGATTTGAAATTTAATTGAAAATATCTTCTTTTTCCTTTGAAAAGCTTCAATAAAGTTTGAAACCTTACCTGGTGTCCTTTTTTTGTCTCCCTGGTGCTTCTCTAAGCCATTTGAGCGATTTTCGTTTCAACGGTCTCTCTCTTAGTATGTGATAGACCGTTGAAACGAAAATCGCTCAAAAGGCTTAAAGAAGCACCAGGGAGACACCTGAGTAGCATATTAACAAGTCGATATCGACATAAAGTTACAAAGAGTTCGGTTTTACTGCGGTTGTGAGTACGCAAATGTATTCTGTTCAAATTTTCTGTTGCTACAGCAGTTTAGTTTGTGAACATACTTGGTTTGATTCATCGATGTCTTTCACGTCCACACAAGGCAAGTGACCTATAACAAACAAATCTATATTTAGAAAATCATAATTATGCGGTGACAGCAGCCGACAGCAGCCTCGTACACAGACTTCTCTCTTATTTCCAAGAAAATGGGCGCGCAAAAGAAGGAGGGAAAGCGAAAGGAAGAGAGACGTCTGGCAGATTTTGTTTTCAAGATGGCGGAATGTTTAATGGCGGATGATTCCGTAATTTTTAAAATGCAAAACAAAATCGCATGTCCATATGTAAAGAAAATGCAACGGACTACAACATCACTACAGGCTTCGTCATTCTGAAGTTTCCTGCCACAATTGGAAGAAGCAGCCTGTGCTAGAATGAAAACGTTGCACGGTCAAGAAACAAGAAATATCTTGGA